AATGCTTTCAGCTATGAATGAGTCAATTTTTATTTTTGTCTGCATCCGTTATGGTTAACCTTAACAAAGGTAAATGAAGAGGACCCCTACAGCGGCAGGAGCTTCCTGGGTTTCCCTCACATGATATACACCAACAGATGTGCAGGTGGACCTTAAAGGGCTGACAGGTCTCCTACAACTGTTGACCTGAAATACCAGTCAGTGACTAACTGAGGTCTGCGAAACAATGGGACATAGCTCAGGGGGATTCTCTCAAACTGCTTGCAATGAATCACATCACTTTCAATACCTGCTCATCCAATTCAGGGTCATGGTGACCTAGTCTATCCCAAGAAGCGCTGGGCGCGTTAGGATGCCTGTCCATCACAGGCCACACACAGACACAAACACACACACACACACACCAGGGCCAATTTCACAGAAGCCAATTAACCTTTAAGTATGTCTGTGGACTACGGGAGGAAATGACATGGAAGAACATGAAACTCCACACAGACAGCACCCCGGGTTTGGAATTGAACCCAGGGTCGCAGCACTGCTAACAACTGCACTGTCGTGCTACCCTGTGCAAATGAATATTTAAAAGTACAATCCTCCAGCCACAAAAAAATACAAGATGCACATCTAAACAATTACCTTACAAAAGCACCTATTTGAATTCACCTGGCAAAGAGAGTCGATGTTTTTGCCACATTCTTCCATGACATCCAGCCAGCATACTCATCAGGATTTCCTCAAAACAGCAACGCGATCTCCATCATTGTCACGTCAGTGGACATGGACAGGCCGCACTCCACAGATTCAAGACCCACAACTCTTCTGAACTTTCAGATAAGGAAATCATTCCATTATCGGGCACAACCTCCCTCCTCCCCCCAGATACCACTCCAGGCCCTTTACAATAAGACGAGTGTACTTACACAGTAATGACTGTTCTGTGGAAGTCATTAAACACTTGGCTGCAAATTTAATTTATGTTATCAGCAACAATGATACTCCCCCTCTCACACAACAGTGTACACATTCCCTGCAGTACCACAGTTCAACACCCCAGACATCAGTGACGAACAACGAGTTTACCGAAATATTTAGAAAAATATTTTCTGTATTTACACAAAGACTTACTTCCTTTTTCAAGGGAAAAAAAAACAGTCTCCTGCCAGAGGCTTGTGACTTCCTGGCCTGTTCATGTGCTCCAATGACCAAAGCTTAAGCTAATGGGCTCAGATCATACGACTCTGACAAGCTGACCCCCATGCCATCCCCATGTATCATTTTGCACAAGTTCTGAGCTGTAAATCAATTTAGGATCTCCTGCAGGTTGAGGAGGCAGTAATGATGCTCTCTCGCGTGTCTCTGGGGACCGTGCATTACACAGAACTTACAATATTTATAAAGGCTTGATGGTGTCTCCATTAGTCTCAGCACAAATGAGCTTCTCTCTGCCATCAGGCAGAAGCGCAGATGTTAGAAGCATGTTTAAGCCACAGAACTGATTTGCGTTACGCTGCCTCTCCGCCATTTGTCTCACTGCTATGAAAGTGTTTACATGGAGCCTAGCTTAGCAAGCACCAATAACAAGAGCTAAAACTGTAAGCACATCATTATACGACCCTGCAACCCACAACAAGAACATAGGCCGATCCTTTCCAAATCTTCTCTGCACTGTGGGAAAAATAACACATCAACCCCCAAGAACAGGCTGGCGACTGAAACCTGACATTTGCCTCAGCACTGAGGGGAGTCCCCATGACCCATGTAAAGTGTCCAGAAAAGCGCAGTATATAAGTGTAAGGAATTATTATTAGCACTGTTCCACTAGCAATGGGATGGCTGGAGCGAGTCTGTACTCCTAGATGTGGACTGTAGCACTGAAGCAAGGAGGAGGGGAATAGTGGAACCGTCATTCATTCAGCCAAATGGCTCTTCCTGCTGTCTGAGCTCACAAGGTACTGAGGTTAGTTAGGTTAGTGTGTTACCCTCAAAAAGCACCTTCTTCCGAGACCTTTTACAACTGAGCTGTAATGAGTATCCCGATACTGAGGAAAGCCAGGTTTGCCATCCATGACGCTTTACATAATACTACAGTACACTAGCACATCATGCACTCTCAGCACTATAAAACAAATGCAGAACTGACTTCATTTCATGGGCACTTAAGTATACGGATAAAATTTCGCATTAAACCTCTTCCGACTGAATCTGGTCTTAGACCAGCAATAAATCTTGAAGTATCTCTTCCAAAGGAAAAAAAAATGAGGTTATCCTCGAGAGGTGTTAAGACTGTATCGGATAATTTCGACAAATTCCTATTTTTACAAGTAAGCAATTGCGATACTGCCTTTACAGCACGCCAAGAGAAAAACGGAACTTTATGAAACGCTATTTAAAGTATTCTACATACACAAGACCGTAATGGATGCATTGTTGTATAGTTTTGCGAAAATCACAGAAAAAAGGAGTCGACTGTGAACGAAAAAGGGGGCAGAGCACGTGAAACCTTAAAGGTTAACACCTTCCTGAATGAGGGCTGAAATCCTTTTCACATACATCAAAGAGAGGTGTTCACATCTCTAAGGACCTTACATGGACACTGAACACCTCCAGTCTCATCAAGAAGGCACAACAGCGGCTGTACATCCACAGATCCTCACCAACTTCTACAGATGTACGGTGGAGAGCATACTGACCAGCTGCATCACAGTCTGGTACGGCAACTGCACCGCATCCGACCGTAAGGCACTACAGCGAGTGGTCAAAACTGCCCAACACATCATCAGCAGTGTCTTACCATTCATCCAGGAAATCTACAACACCAGGAGTCTGTAAAAAGCCACCAAAATTATGCCTGACCCCACTCACCCCAGTCATAACTTGTTTGTTCCCCTACCATCTGGCAGGAGGTTCCGGTCAATCCAGTCGCACACAACTAGACTCCAAAATAGCTTCTTCCCCAGAGCTGTCAAGTTGGTGACGCCCCCACTCCCTCCCACCATATTATGATCTCTCCTAACATCTTCCTGTACCCACAACCACTGTACTCCTACACCACTACACACACATGTAAGCCGAAATTGTACTGTCCCCTCGATAGCCCAGTAAAACTGTACCGGTCATAATAATATTTAATATTTATTAATTAACCATACTATTATTAACCATACTATTTTTGCACTGTTCCAAAAATTACCTTGCACTGTTTTTGTCCTGTTAGATTTTATGTTTGCGGAATTTTGCACAGTTTTGATTACATGTTATTTATGTTATGTTATTACATGTTACTGTTATTGCTATTGTGTAACTGTCTATTGTCTTATCTTCTGTCCTATTTATATACTGCACCTGAGTGACTAACGAGAAACACTTTTCATTATACTATGCACCTGTGTAAGTTTAATGACAAAGTTTAATTGAAGAGAAACATTTTTGAGCACGCAGAAACGTTCGCAGTATGTAGGAAGGTTCTGCACTCTGGTTTCGGAGTTGACATTCAGAATCCACAGCACCGCCGTGAACTCCGCAATCTGGGCACAAAACCACCTGCAGGCCGCCTTTCCCACACACTCCCCAGAAACTCAACCGGAACAATCTGGAAAATCACTCCAACTGATCACCATCATCAACCCAGAGAGATCACCCTAATAGAAAAGGGGCAAATACAGCAAAGCGCGCAGGTAAACAAAAACTTAAGGGAAGTCAGAAAAACGTAAAATCAATGGTTATTTAATCCTTCAAGGGGTGCTAAAATGATGCAGCGAACGTATCTGAACTATTGGAAAACATAAAAAGGGTCTGCAAGTCTTTTTCCCCCCACAGTGTACCTGCAGATTTGCTTTTACTCCTCGACAGAGAGAGAGAGCTGCCGCTAAAAAAAAAAAGCGCTCCCAGACGTCAAAGATGTACAGCAAAGAATCAAATCAAACGCAAGGACGAATGCCTGCCCTCTGGGTCATCCGATCTCTCCCCGAAGACAGCGAGATGTGTTCCCGGGTCTTTGTGCGTCCAAGAGCATCCCCGAAGCGTCTCGTGCCGGAGCGGGGACCCCTGCGCTCACACCCAGGCTGGGCGAGATGATCAAAGCCCTTTCCTCTTCGCGATTTCTTTTTTTTTTTCCCCAATTCCAAGTGCCCGGGTTTTGTTTTGTTTTTTAACGATCTTAAACGGCATCGAATTGCACGGACGGCGGCTCCGTGTCCCTTTCACGCGAAGTCCACGAGCGCTTGGAAGCGCGTCCGAGCCCACTCGAGCTCCGGGAAACAGGGCGAGTTCGCCCGGATCCCGACCGGGTAATGACGTCAAGGCACCAAGACGACAATGGAAACGTTCAGACATCGCTTCTGACAGGTCCATACTACACTAAACTAAATCTACAGAGCATTCATAGGAGTCTTCATTTGCTTGTCTGCATTGTCACCCCACCCCACACACACACACACTTTTTGAAAATGTTCTGAAAGATTTTAATGAGCTGAGAAACTCGTGTGTCAATCCAAATGAAGAATCACCCTTATCCCTTTTACAGTTAGAATGAACTTTTCATCAGCTTGGCTAACAAAATCTAGCTAATCACACATTTGAATACCACAGAACTACCGAAAAAAACATCACCCAAAGACTCAATTCCAGTTTTCAAACGAGGAAAAAGGGGGTGACAACGTTTCGGGCTGTCGTCTAATACAGACCCCAGCACGCTAAATACAGCAAACTAAACCTTTAACGGCAACACATTTCAACATCTGACAACTTCACATAATAACACACGACCACTGCCCCTGTACCAATACACCAATTTTAAAAGCAGCATGTCGGCTGGCGAACGGCACTTCAAAACAAACGGATGACACGGGTTTAAAACGCAGTTACTGGCAAACCTGAGAATAAAGGTACGAGCTCTCGTTTCAGAGAGAGACAAGCGAAAAACACACATTTATTAACAGGGGTTAAATCTAAAAGCCAACTAAAAAGCAGAGTCCACCAAAAAAAAAAACAAAGCCACTCACGTTAAACAAAAAAAGAGAGAGAAAAGTTTTCCGCGTCCCCACCGGCCGCCCGTCCGCGGCTCTTCAGCTCCGACACTGGGAAGAGCGAAACTTCTGCCGCCGCGCAGCTCGCGCGCACCGCTGCCTGGATTGATCTCGCGTCCCTGGCGTCAGCGAGTCGAGGACCACCGCACCCTCCGCGCCGCGCTCTGTATCATGCCGCGGGGCTGCGCGGCTAGGGGCCGTCTCAAAATAACCCGCCCCGCTCACCGGGGAAAATTGAGTCCTCTCTACTCCCCCCGTGCCTTCCGTGTGTCAAATAAGAAGAGGATCTCGGTTGCTGTGCAATACTGGGAGACGCGGTTGGTTGTGCTTCGCAGCTGGCTTTTTATTAACTGGACGGGGTACTCGCCGCCCTGACATTTGGTGATTTGAGGAGGACGCTTGGCTGTCAAGTGAGAATCTCTTGCCAGTTAAAAAATGTCCGATTGCGCCGACCTTTTCAACAGAAGTTAGAAAACGTCCTGTAGCTACTAGTGCATATTTTCACAAGAGCATTATACTGTGAACTGGTATCCTATACCGTACAGTGCTACATAGAACACTTTTGCCTGGTTAGAAGCTACTTTATGCATGTAATACAAGCAGAATCGCCGACAGACACGTCTTAATTCATCCTGGAATTATTCGTTTAAAAAAATAATCTTACACTCTGTCCGTCACGCATGTATTGTTGGACAGGGCGCAACATTCGGGCTTCAATACCAATGTTCCTTTCAGCGTGAAACACATCTGGTCTGGTCTTGGGGAAGAAAAAGACGGTAGTGCTGACTGGTGTGTTATTTGAGCAAGATGTACAGTACATCTCTCAAGAGGCAGAAGACACAGCAGAGGCCTACTATAGTGCCAAGGTGAACGTCTCCAGCCACAGCCTGTCAGCCCCAAAATCAAAGGAAGTTTTAAGTGGGAATGACAGTTCAACCATTTGCATTTGAAGCACCTCTTAGAAATGTTTTAGGAATAGCTCTCTTTAAAACTGGTTAAAATCAGTCAGATAAAACCACTGACCTGCCAACCTGGGCTAACTATTAAAGAGCTGTTTGAATGCATCGGGAATTTTGTGTGTGCTAATTGAAGATACTCCGGATCATAGTGTAGCTCCTGCCCTCTGTGAAGAGAACTGGCTCGCACGGAAATGACTGGATTTTAAAGGCTCTCCTGCTCACACGTGAAGCCCTGCGTGTTTCAATTGAGCGTAATCTGAAATCTTAATCTGAGATTTTACTTAATTGTTGAAGAGGAACATGTTCCAAATCAATCTGTGCTCGTTTCTCCATTCTTTCATTTTACCTCTGATCTCTGTATTACATGGGTAATATTGCACAGAACATTGAATTAAAAACAAATTGTGTTCTTCACGCCTGCAGCGTTAGGAGCATTAGGACATCTGCAAACAAGAGAGGCCATCCAGGCCATTTAGTAGTTGGTAGCTAGTTGATCCAGTTATCTCATCCTGCTGTTTCTTGAGTTTGTGTCTCAGCCCCTGTCTAGGATTCCTCTTCCACCTTTTAACAACTCTTTGTGTAAGGAAGTGTTTACTGTTTCTCAGTCCACCCTAAATGAATTTAGCCTTTCAGCCTCTGATTTTGTATCCATGTCCTTGTTTCACAACTGAACTAAGTAAAAGTAGCCCCCTGAGTTTAACCTATCTCTGCCCTTTAGGCATTTACATGTAAAATAAAATGTACTTTTAATATTTGATACAATGACTGCTACAATCACGTCTACTATTAATGATATCAATGACATCAAATCGAAGCACTGCTCAATGATGCAGTTACTGATAGCTCTCTCACTGTAACTTTTGTGGAGACAGAACACTAATGACCCATTGCAATTAAACTTTTGATCGTATTTTGCTTCATGAACACAGTATATTATCAGATAACGATGTTAAGTAGTTATTATAGATAAGTAACGTACAAACTCCACATAGACAGCACCCCAGGCTGAGAATTGATCCCTGGGCCCCGGCACTGTGAGGCACTGTGAGGCAGCAGCACTAGCCACTGCTCCACCATGCCGCCCACGGGCAGATCATGTTCTGTGTAATTGAGACTGCTGTGGGAATGACTGGCACTTCCAGAGTTTTCTGTGCTCCGAGGTGTGTATTGCTCGCTGAAGTGTTGCATTACTAGAAGATATTTTGAGACATTTCGGAAAAGCAATGTCATTTCCAATGCTGGGCCAATGCCATGTGGCATTCCCAGAAGCTGCAGATCGTAGGCTGGGGTCAGGGAGGTCTCTGACTGCTATGATAAGGCAAGAATAGGAGCTGTGGTAAGGAAACGAGAGCAGACAGAGGGGGAGAAAAGCTGCAGCAGAAAGTTTCCCAGGCAAGAGGAGAAAAGCAACAGTAGCCTCACAGGGATTTGTAGTGGACCTCAGACAGCCTACCCACAGTTCAACAGTGACACCAGACTCAATCTTCGGTTGATAAAGGGTTTAATACTGCTGGTACTGAAGGAGAACCTCTTGAGAACACCATCTGATTCCCTATCTGAAGCACTCTTTCAATGCCTCGGTGGTAGGGATTGTTATGGCTGTAGCTTTCTTTAGTAAGATACTCTATAAGCTTCTTTAAAGCCGAGTGGGACAAGAAGCAGCTACAACCACAGAGAACAGTTAGCAAGACAGCCAAAGGCTGTGCAGCATCATCCCTGGGCTGCTGTCTTGGTTTTCCACAACATCTTGCCCAGTGTTTGTGTGTCAGAAGGGCCCGAGCTCATACATGACCTGCATAGTGTCGCTGTAAAATGGAGGGATTTTAATGTTGTGATGCAGGCCATCCAAGAAAGCAGAGATGCCATAATGGCAGATGGCAAAGGTTTGAGTGCACTCATGAGTGTTAATTTCTGACACCACAGCAAGGTGAAAACCCAGAACTCTCAATGCCCACTAAAGAAATTAATGAAGCTGTCAGCTCACCGAAATCTTCTGCAGGCTTTCACACCCACATGTTTAAAGCTGACAGAACGTGAACTTTGACCATGAACTTTGACCACTTTGACCATGAGATCAAGCAGGACAGTGTAGGTATCCGAGTTCCTCTCTGCAAATTAAGTTCCCTGCTCAGCCACTAGCACAACCACGACGCTTGTAACAAGCAGTCTGTTTAGCCTGAGTATTGTACCATGGTATTTCAAGTAATAATAAAATTTAACTTTATATAGCGCCTTTAAAAGTAGCATCTCAAAGAACTTCGCAGTAGGTGCAAAAAACGTTTTAAGGATAGCAAATCACAAAATAAGTACGTAAAAGAAAAAGTTTAGAAGTGCATCAGAAGTTAGAAAATGGAGAAGACACAGACACTAATTAAGTTAAAGTCTTTCTGAAAAGAAACGTTTGGAGTCTGGACTGAGACGCACTCAGGGCAGGTGACTCTGATATCCTTGGGGATAGAATTCCAGAGGTTTGGGGAGCAGATTGGAATGTAGTACAATATAAGTATGACAGGGGAAAACCATGTCAATTTTAAGAAGAGAGGAATAGCCCCAAAGGTTGGTTTCTTCTTCCCAACCACACAGCTGTGCACCAGTCCTGCCTCAGCCAAGCCTCCATTCATCAAGCTAAAAGCTGAATCCCCCTTCCACCAGCCAGACCCAGCCATGAACGCTAGCTTTTTCGTCATCTGAAGACTCGACGTCTGCTGTGTGGTCTGCAGAGGATGAGTGGTGCCCACTGTGGTCTGCTTGAGGGGGGATCCTGAAGAGAGCTGCTTTGCTAGCAGAGCGCTCGTTTGAAGGAGAAGTGGACTGAAGTCACATGTAGCTTTATTTAAAAGGTGACGTAGACTCCGTGTGGTCAGTACCATTTGAAATATCTTGTTCTACTCATTATTTGATCTCCCTAAGACACCGAAATGTGATGTAAAGATTAGTCTCATTTTTAACTCGGCATTAAAACTTCTGTTGCATTAGTTTGGAGGTGCTGCTGTCTCTGTTATCAGTGTACAGTATATGTGTTGTACGTACAGTACAGCTGCAAACGTTTGGCTACCAGGTGTGCTGACTAGAGAAGAAAACCTCAGCTAATGTCTGAAAAAACAAGAGCATTGAGCGTCCTTAAATCCAAAGGGTTTTGAGATGGAAATTGAAAACGTTTTTTACAAAGCAAATTAGACACAACTTTCCCTTCTGGAAATGTTGGATATTAAAATCGGCCCGTTTTAGCTGTGTTCCGCAGAATTACAGTTGTATTCAAATCCAAAGGGGCAGTGAAAACAAAACCATTTCACAACATTACAAATGAAAACGGTATTGTTGTCATTAAGGAATAAAAGAAACGTGCAGGTCTACTTCGCTTAAGAGACCGATGTTCGACGTATAGTATTATGCACTATCGGGCTGTCGTGATGCCCGAAGACGTCTCGCTATCTCCGAATACTCGAAAGAAGAGGTACGTTACAATATAAGCAAACCCATTCATATTGCATCCCAGTGCGTTACAACACTGTGCTCGGGAGCACCGTTAGAACAAGAGGAATTTAGAGAATGTTTCCAATGTGCAATAAAGCCCTTCAAATCCCACATCCTCCAGAACCTTTAAACACGCGCTGTAGAACCGATCTCGAACTTCCAGGCAGCACGTGTAAGGGGGCGTGTAGCCTGTCATTACTGTCCTTATTCAAGACTGACCATGATCACGCTTCTGTTTCGGACAGTTTTTTACACACGAAGTTACACGGTATAACCCAATCCTAGAGCTGTAGTTTAATGACAGGCTGGTCCACTCATTTCCAATCTTCTCTTCGCACTCAGAGGGACGTAGCTGGATCCTCGGACTGAAGGAAGCGTAATTTTTTTACACATCGAAGAAAACCTTTATTATTTGGGGTTTTTTTATGTTCGCAGCTTTCCGTGCTATGTTCATTACGTTACTCTTAAGGAGCTTGGAAACAAACATTAAACAAACCCCCAACGTTTAAGTGTTTATTCTCCAAACCTCCCTGACTTTCATTTTTTATTTTGTTAGAAATTACTCTCTCCACTCACAATGATAACAGCGCTATGAAAATCGCCGTAGCTATTGTTACATTTCAGACCCTGTCATTGGCCGTTGTTGAAACCCCGGCGTGTTCAAGCATTCTTTCTCTCCTATCTTGCCCGCAACATGGACTTGAACGTCGAGCTGTCTCGCTGCCTCTGGGACTAGTTTATCCACGACCCTGTTGCGCCGGCGGAGGAAAACAATCCAGCGTGTGCGCTGTAGCGCGGGTGACGTCACGCGGCTGG